AGACAAACAGGCGTTACGCCTTACGGTTAGTTAGTGTCAATGCTTTGTGGTTAGTTAATGTCACAATGAACTGGGAACATTTTAACACAAAAAGAGCACTAATAACACAAATCCCTTGAAGTAAAGTGAAAAAGTTGATGAAGCCACTTCAGGTGTCATGTTAGTGTGGAACGTATTAATATTAGTTTACGTATATTGTAATACATTACTTTAAATATCATATATTATCATTATAGCATACACTAAAATGCAACTCAAGATAGACATGTGCAAATAGCAGCTTAAAAAACATGAATATATTATGATGATACTTAGTTCTACAGATCTTGCAGACTGCCAGCACCATCTCTTTTCTTCCCTATTTTCATATCTTTACTGTCAACAAGACAAGAGCACCACCGTGTGGTCAGTTGAATGTATGGCACAGACACAAGAGAGCCGTAAGATATGATTTATCGTACAAACTGAGATCACTTACTGAATATTTAGTGAGCAAACATGTGGAAATTCATTTTAATTTGTAAGTAACAGTAATGGGACAATTTGACATTTATATTCAGTATGTTTTACACAAATATAGTCATCAGTCAATTAAGGGGATAAACAAAGCCAGATGTTGCTGAAGCAATATAACACATGATGCTGTATAATGTTTTTCTTTGTTTGTTTGGTGCTTTGAAAAAAAAGTGTTGGCTGAATGGATTTAGTGGAAGCATTCAGGTGGGTAATTCACTTTAAACTGTATGAAGAGAACAGAGTATGTGGATTATTTTCGCCTAAAACATATCCAACCATCATTTATTTGTTTGTCATTTATTCCCGGGTGCAGTATTTTCCCTCTGGAGAATACTTTTACTGTGCTTGCCGCTACGGACAAAACTTTCTCTGGTATTATAGTTTTGTATCAAATAAACTCTTTCCAGAAATATGTGTTGTTCAGAGTGAAACCAATGTAGTAAATCAAATATGTGACAGCACCTTCCCTTAAGCACAGCAATGTAACACAAGTAGAGAAATATTTGAGTTGCTTGGCTGTTCTGCTGTTTTGACATCATCTACCAGAGGGATGCTGTGCTGGCGTGGCTTTCCTGTCCCCCAGGTAAGCTGTAAATCATCTTTTGTTTGCAGAGAAAGCTGCCATTACTCTGAATTGTGTCCAATCTTACTGCAACAGTTAGTTGCCCTATGACCAATATATTGGTTTCTCAGTGAACGTGAACATATATTGCATTCTTCCTCATCAACAATCACTGGCTAAATGCCTTCAAGCAAGGCATCTCCTTGTTTAATGGTAGAATATGGTGGCTACACAGAGTCAGTCTAACTTTCAGGTCAAATAGAAAAATACAAAGTATACAAGTGTGTTCTTTCAAAAAAAGTTTCTAAGTTTCCTTGGTTAAAAAAATATGTCAAATGTGAGAAATGTGATGCAGGAGGCACATCACACACACAGCAGGGAATCTGGAGGCATACCGTGTAGACTCTTGCTTGAAGAATGACAACCTATATAGTGTCACCTCACCTAAAACAGAATCCACAGCCCAGATGCAATTAATATTTTCCTGTTTATTTATTCTTTGTGAAAATGTATCACTTTATCCTTATCATTTATGCATAATGATTCTTTGGATTTTTGTTCATCTAGGATTTGTGCTCAATATATAACACCATCAAAAAAGAAACAATTAAAAAAGACCACACAGAAGTAAGATTAATAAATGACAAATTTACATTTGCAATTTTAATACATGTTATGAATGGAAAGATCCACACACATTATACAGCTGTAGAAAGATATGAAGAGGATTTCATCTCAAAATACCCCGCATCTGCCTTTACGCCTGTTACGTTATAATATTATTTTATGCCATGTTATACCCCTAATTAAAGATTGTGAATTATTATGTAGTTTTAGTTTGCAGTATTCTCCTGAATTAGAAGAAGCTGATAACTACTGCATTAGTTAAACTGATTTGCATTACATTAGACTGCTGATTTATTGTGGATATTGTTTTATGATGTTATAAGAAATACTGTTTGCAGAGAGTCATCGCCTTATTTGTCTGATTAGAAGAGAACAGAGCATGCTGGAGTTTTCTGCCCCATCTCAGCAGGAGCAGATTTTGAGATCTGAGGCTGTCTGCATACGGTGCCCATCTCCCACGCGTGTGTTCATTAAAATCATCGTTTGACTTAACCCGGCCGGACCAGTGTTGTTATTGTGGTTTTTTCTCTTGTCTCCATCCCCAATTTTTGAACTCGTAACACGCCACAGGAAAAATAAACTTCAGAAAGTTGTACTTCTGTATCATCCTCCTGTTTGAAAACTGCTGTAGTTGCACATACACTTCCCAGTCATATATTTTACCAAATGAAACATTGATGTTTCCTTTAAAACCTCCATCCTTCTTACTACATGTTTCCCAGACAATAGCACTTTGCCAGCAATTTGTTTCAGCCAAGATGTATGGTGTGATAAATATTTAAAATCAAATTTGGCAAAAAGACGTAGATGGATGTGGCACCCCAGGCTGTCGTGGGAGCCACTCTCTAAAGTACAGGGACGTCCCTTCCAAATACCCTTATATCCACACGCAGGAACAGATATGCACGCACACACTGTATACAGCGCCTGAAGAAGAGCACATGTGCCAGGCCAGTCACCAGTGCTTCTCAGTGGCACCAGCATTCCCCCTTTTCTTGTTTTCATTAATGTGTATCAATGCTTTTTTGTGTGTTTCTTCTTGAGCACTTGGTAAGGATTCCTTGATGAATCATATGCATCATTAAAGCCGTGTAATGAATAATATTAGTGTGTTTACAGTCCAAATTCTCATGTCTGCTCACAGAGTTTTCAGCTCTTTAATTGAGACACACTCTATGTCCATGGGTGCATGTTTTTCATGGCTCAGCACCGAGGCAAGTCTGACACTGCTATCTGATTGAGTTTGCAGATTGTTTGCCTCAAGAAACACCTTTTATTGCTGTTATGTTTTAGGATGGAATGTGTCAAATCAGTAGATTTCATATGTTGAGTTTGCCAGCGTCTCTAGTCTAACCAAACATTTCATGATGTGCGTACTAAATAAAAAACATCTATCAGCTCTGGAGAATTGAGTGATCAGTGAGTCAGTGATGCCCGGCTGTTGATGTATGACCACTAAGATGCTGCTACATCCATCAACATTTTACAGTAAATGCTCAGTTTCTCTGGCTTTTCATCTGCTCTGTGATGACTAATAGCCTGATTCTAGATGGCTGATAAAGGCAAAGTGTAAATAATCTGCTTGGGAACAGACGATACTCCCTGTACTGTACCTGCATTGCGCCTCAAGCAGCTTTGGTAAACCATTAGGAATAGTGTGGAAGTGCTGACTTTGGGAGTGGTGTGAAAAATTTAGCCTCGCTTGAGTCATTAATCAACTTACCTGCAGCAAAGTGTTGCCTTTATTAAAGCAGGCTTATTAGAGCTGGCTGTGCGTGCATTTTTCTCCTTTAGTTAGGTGAACTTTTCAAAGAACTGTTCTTGAGATGACTGACAAGCATTTGGCAAAGCTCACCAACACCAGTTAAATATGTACATAAGGACACTCGTATGTCATTTTTACAGATACACAGCTACTTTGAGCTCCACCAAAAAACCCAGTCTCGCAATATGATAGCATAAGGAGAAAATCACAATAAATAACTGGAATATTTACTGTCGACTGGTGACCTCATGAAATAAGTAGCTGATTTATATAATATGGACATTAGATTTAAATTTTATTCCAAACACATTCTGGACTCCCGATGAAAGTTTGTTTTACCTAAAAACCACAAACCAGGCGAGAAATTTGGGTGTAGTGATGGATGCAGACCTAAACTTAGAAAAACACATTAAGACAATAACAAAGTCAGCTTACTATCACCTCAAGAATATATCAAGGATAAAAGATCTGATGTCTCAACAGGACCTGGAAAAACTAGTCCATGCATTCATCTTTAGTAGGCTTGATTACTGTAACAGCATCTTTACAGGTCTACCTAAAAAATCAGTCAGACAACTACAGCTCATTCAGAACTCTGCTGCTCGAGTCCTCACTAAGACCAAAAAAGTGGACCACATCAGTCCAGCTCTGAGGTCTTTACACTGGCTGCCTGTCCGTCAGAGGATAGACTTTAAAGTTCTGATGCTGGTCTATAAAGCTCTGAATGGTTTAGGACCAAAATACATCAGTGACCTCCTGACCCAGTATGAACCTTCCAGATCCCTCAGGTCATCTGGATCCGGTCTTTTATCAGTTCCCAGAGTCAGAACCAGACACGGAGAAGCTGCATTCAGCTTTTATGCTCCTTATATCTGGTACAAACTCCAAGAAAGCCTCAGATCAGCTGAAACACTTAGTTTATTTAAATCCAGGTTGAAGACTCACCTGTTCTCAGCTGCATTTGAATAAAGCACCAAATCCACACTTTTAAGCTTAAATTTCAAAACTAAAATTTTAACTACTGATTTTATCTATTGTTCTGATTTTATCTGTTTTGATTTTATATACTGTTTTGTTTGTTTGTTTGTTTGTTAATTAGTTAGTTAGTTAGTTTTAATTAATTTTAAATCATGCTTTTAATTTGTTTTTGTTTCTAATGTCTCTGTAAAGCACTTTGAATCACCTTGTTGTTGAATTGTGCTATACAAATAAACTTGCCTTGCCTTGCCTTTTAAAAAGCACACTCTTTTGAGATTGTTTACCTATATGCAAACTATGCAACACATCCAGTGCCTATAATGTAAAGCGATGTTTGATAAATGTGTAAAGCCACAGTTATCGGTCATCCATCTTTTTACTATTTCTCTAATAACATGTGTAATTTGTCTTCACATCTTGCATGAAGAAAATTCATAGTCAGTGCGAAGAACCAGACAGTAGGTAAATTTAGATTATTTGTTTCATTCAAGGAAGTGTCACTGCAAATACCCATAGTAGTCACGAGGCAGAGGTCAAAGGTTGACAGGTGAAAGGAAGACACGCCTAGTCCAGAGAAACTGTACCACTGTGTTCGCTGTGTACACAACAATACAGCCACCAGAAGCTTAAAAAAAAAATAAACTGTTCCCAATTAACGGATTCACACGGACGTACCTGTAATGGAGCGGAGCAACGTGAAGAGGACCGTGAAGATATTGTCAAGATGATGACGATGATGATGCTAGTAGCCTAAAGTTTTCCGTACTGAGGTACAACCGCTAACAGCCCCACCTGTTTAAATGATAGCTACTGGCAGCTTGTTATTACAGTTTGTAGTATTTAAAGTTTTAATTTAATTAAGAGCTAAAAAATTGAAAAGACTTTAAAGGTTTCCCTTCGTCTGCCTGGCGTTACGTTATGCTGAATTGCTCGTATAATATGTATAATAATGGCGATTTTGCTGGAATTGGTGTTTTCAGTTTTTATGTTACTGTAGAGGTTCCCATGCCATGTACCCTTCTCCGTGTGCAGTAACACAGACCCTTTCTTTGTATAATCATTAGCTTACAGAAGCCACGGAGGCAATTCGGTGCAGGAAAATCACAGGTGCAGTTAATTACAGGTTCATGGTCACACTAATGTGCATGGTAGTTGATTGGTGTAGCCTTCCAGTGACAACTAAATAGAGCATTCATAACTGTATTTATTGCTCACACCTGTGCCTTTTCTGTTTTAACAAATCAAAAATGTTTTCTGTGGAAATGACCCAGGCTATAGTTGAAAAAATTCACTTAGAAAGGGGTCCTAGCTAGATTAATGCGATGGTGTTGTGTTTAGTATGTTGCTTTGGGGTTTTTTTTGTGTTTTTTTTGCTTGTTTTCTATTCTTCTTCTCTCAACAGGTGATCCAGGAGATTTTTTTTTCTTTCCCCCTTTCTCACTGTCCCTCTCCCCTTCTGTTTTTCTTTTCCTTCCTCTTTCTTTCTCCCTTTCCTATCCCTCACTCATGTCTGTAACATCTGAAAATAAAATATAATAAATAATAAAAACAAAGGTCGATCAAATGGACCAATACGGCAATGCCACCGATGATCCATTTGGCAAAGTAAATCCATTGGGTATCCTTGTTGGTCTTCAAACAACAATTCTGATGGCTAAAGAACCAAATGGGACAGGCAAAAAAAAAAAGAAAAAAAGAAAGGGGTCCTAAATATGTGACGTGACCTGGAAATGGCTGCCATAATAGTAGTCCAAAAAGTACCTCCTACTACCTTTTTGTAACCACTTTTTTGTTACCTTGATGGAAATCATCATGAGGGCAAGGAAGGAGAGTGTAAAAAGAAATAAGAAAAAAAGGATTTTATGAAGATTTAGAAAAAGATGACGATTAAATCTTTATAGACAATTTACACATGCACTGGGTCTGGATGCTAAGGAAATCTTGTGCAGATTTTAGAGTCAGAAGTAAATACAAATTTAAAAACAAAGTGTGCAGTAAGATTAGGTAAGGGACAATATTTCAAGTATAAGTGACAGTAATTTCCATATTGTACATATTTACTATACAATAATACGGAAAAACAAAATGTTACACATCTTATTAAACTCTTTATTCCATTTCTGGATAAGGTAGATTTTTTGTGTATTTTAGTTGGTCGGTATTTTATTTTTGCCATTAGTCAGACTGTGGCATGAAAGAAGCTGCTGTTGAAGTGCAGTGTGCAGAGACTCCAATTACACTTAGGCTTGACTCCTTAGTAGAGCAGGACGATATGGCCAAAGATATTTATCAGATATATATTTGAAAATTTGCGATAACGATATAACTGACGATATAATTGATGCAAGACAAAATACAACTCCACAACTTTACTAGCGCAAAAAACCCTTCGATTTACTTAAACAAGCAGCTGTTTTTATGTGCATTAAAGCTATATAAAAATTTAACAGTGCAAATTCAAATTCCTTGCTGAAAGTTTAACCAAAGGGCATTTCCAGTAGAAATGGGCTGACATATCCTGAGCATAACCATGTATAATATCCACTACAGTTAAAAATAGGTGCTTTGCAACATGAAACTGCAGTGTATCAAACAAAAAACGTCAAATACCTATTTTTCGGACCCTAAGGTGCACGGGATTATAAGGCACAAGAAACAAAGCAGTCAGATAAATCAAACTTTATTCAACTTATTCTTCTTGCTTCCTCCACTTCAATATTATAGAATATTGATTCAATAATGCTATATTCTATCACAGCTGCTCTATTCCCATGTTGTTGTAGTATATTAATGACTCCTGACTGAAGCTTGGTCTGTTTACAGCATCCTGCCATGAGATTGCATTTGTCTCTAACCATCAGGAACCGTCACGTTAACTTCTATCAGTGGAAAAACTTAGGTTCATCCTCCAGCTTTACTGTTTATGTTATGCTAACATAGCTGTGTCGCTAGCGATCACATTATTATCTACCAGCTAGCCCAAATTCAGTAACCTTACAAACTTCACTACTGTTTAGTTTTCTGTCTTCATTTATGTTGGAAGTGATAGCAGAGCTGTACGTTTTGAATTTTTCAGAAATCTCTCAGTCAGAACATGGTATATAATGCTTAGGTAACTAGCGAAACTAGCAAGCTAACTTCCGCTAACTTCTTGCTAACTTCTAACTCCGTTAAATGTAATAAATTCTGTTTTCATGGATGCCCGGATGTTAAACTTAATTATTACACCTGGTAAAGCAGCAATACTGATAATTTTTATCAAAGATGAAATAATTTAGACAGTTTTTAACTCCCAGTGATGCTGCAGTGTTCGTTTAACTTTGGGACATGAAGAAACGGAATTTTGGACCCAGATTACTCCCAGATTTAGGAGCACCTTAGTCCGACAAATACGGCAATAACGAATGCCTGCTTGCATGTTGTACAAAACAATGTGCTTTGGTGGGTATCTGATGGACAAACACCAAACCAGTTCCACATCACTGACTCATTGTCAGCTGTGGTTGGCATGGAAAACCCCTTAAAATGAACAGTTTTAAGGGTGGATTTTGATCATTTTCATGAATAGTTAGGTTGTTAGTGCATCATGATATGCAAACTGGCATTATCTCCTCTTCCTTTGTAAAGGATGATCCAGACAGTCAATTTGGATTTGTTGTGTATGTTGCTGTATTGCCAACCTTTGAGATTATTGATTTGACTTCAGTCACAGAAAGCCTTAATAGGAGCAGGACTTGTGCTGGATAATCGGTCCAACAATAAGAAAAATACAAGTGGACAGGTTTAAGCAGCTAATCACAATGTGTCAGGAATGTCATTTCACTATATAGACTGTTTATTCCTATTGCTTTAAGATTACAGCCATTGTATGAAGTGATATTTTCACTGCTTTTACATAAGGTATGTGAAACAACATGATAGGAAAAAAGTGTGTAAGATGATCTTTCTGTACTCCATCTTCAGAACATTTTTGTTTTATTAAGCAGACACATGTCAACAGTATCCACCATTACATTATTAAGACCCTTGTATAAATGCTGTATTCTGAGTGTCTTATAAGTGTCTGCACACCTTTCTTTGATCTCATGATGTATTCCATCAAGGTCATCTTAAAGTGATTAGGAATTCAACTGAAGTTTTGCATTTGGTATGCAATAAATGTTGCCGTCTCTCCTTTCTAAACGGGCCGTTTTTGTCTAAGTTAAAAAAACTTTAACTGTGTTCTTCTCACGCGTCTCTCATCCTGGCTCTTGCATTTTGTGACACTTAATCCGCGTCACTGTTTCCTTCCAACCCAGTGCTTCTCTTGGAGTTCTATTATTTTGAGTATCAGCTGGGTAATTTCTCTTGCCTTTGCTGGTTTCCGTTATGGGTTCTGGAGATAAAGTTGTCTTCACCAAATTGGACACTTGTGAGTAGTTGGTGGTGCAGTTTTTGAAGACAAAAAGAAATTTTACGCCTTAATATCAACACTTGAAAATACTTTTGAAAGTAATTCCATCTGCTGTCAGTTTTGATGTGCAGGTAATGAAGACCCATCAAGAAGCATTCAAAAACAGTTTTCAATAGTTACAAAGGTATGCCATCATCCTGAAAGAGTGACAGTAAAGAAGGATTATAACATCCCCAAATCTTCCTCTCTGATCTTTTCTTTCTTTTGTAGTATATTTTTTAAAACCCATCATAGCAATTAAATTTTTTCATTCAGTTTTTGTCAGAGAAGATGAGGCAACTGCACTGCAATCTTCCTTTGGTTATCACTGCCTCAGCATGGCAGTTTATTCTTCCTGATTTTTAGGTGCTCTCCAAATATTCCTCATATACCTGAGATGATATTGCTTATGTTGCCTGTAAAGGTCAATAACTGAATCTGAATGAAAAAGGCAGTGAAGATTTTTAGCCTTAGAAGTTTATAAGCAAGCCACCCAGTCCCATTATGTTAGGGTTCAAGTTTTTCATGTGTGCAATATGAAAATACATGTTGTGTATTTTCTTATTGTGTATTCCAATGACTCAGTTACAGGTGTTTTGATAGTAATGTGGTTTAATGTTGCAAGCTGTGGATGCTTTATGCATTGTAGCACTCGTAGGAGTCTGTTCTAGCAATTATTTTGGTACTCTTTACTTTTTCTAAAGTAACATCCCACATATTTTCAACAAAGCTACTACCTAAAGATTCTCTGACAGTGTTAACACAAACGAGTACAGAGAAGGAGGTAGTGTAGGAGGCAGGCGGAGGAGGTGGAACAGTAGAAAGGATCTTTTAAAGCAAGCTGAGCCGCCAACTGCTTCTGAACATCTTTTCTCTTATCTTAATAAGTAATGAGGCTGCCACAGGCTGACAATGAAGTATTTTGAAAATAGTTCTAATGTATGGCTTTGAAAGGAGTAGCTGGGCATTGATGTATGGCACAAACAGGCTTGAAAACAAGTGAAATATTAATGGGCTGTTTCCCAGGAGTTAATGTGGGATTTACCTGATTGCGTTGCTGAGAGATGGGGGCTGGGATGAAGGTGTTGGGGCGTCAGGACAAGCATATGATTGAGGGACAAGTTTGAATTGTGTGAGTGATGCGGATGTTTGGATAGACCTTTCAGCTAGATTTGGAAAATATAGCCACCAGCCATGTATATTTGCATATTTTTAAGTTACCTAAGGATGATATATGATGTCAGAGAAATGAAAACTTAAATTTTACATTTCTAATATGAAACCCTTACTTATTCTGTTAAAATAAAACAATAGCATCAGCTATCTTTGTGTAATCTCTGTTTTGAAAGGTAGTTGGTTTTCATTTTATGAATCCTCAACAACAGGAATAAACACAATCTATTTTCTTGTTGCTAATTAATCACCCGAGACCACTGGATTTACACTTTGTCACAGCAGCCTATCATATCTTGATACACCACAAGGGAGCAGCAGTGTAAAAGGAAGAGAGCTCAGCAGGTTGTTAGATTATCTCATAATCCTAAAGCACAACTGTGAATTCTGAGTCTCTTTAGATATTTGAAGTGGTAATTTTCCACGTGCAGCGGATGTGTCACAAAGTAATAGCAAAACACGAGGAAAATTCAGTGAGAAAAGTCAGACTTTTACGTATTTTTCGGTCCTCGCGGAACGTAAATCAAAATCTTTATATCCTTCGGTCCTTTAAATAGATGTTGCCAAGTGTACAGCAATAGGTCCACTATTGAGTTAGTGTGTTAGAAGAGTGCGCATACAGTAATAGTTTAAATGCTTTACCCCAGAGATGAGGCCTAAAACAACACTGACGCACAGAATTAAAAAGTTCCGTTTGAGAGCACCATTGGCATCCCAGAACACTTGGAAATGCCATTCAAGCACTGGAAAGGTCAATAGTTAAAATAACTTTAGTTAGAGGAAAAAGAAAACTTGGTTGTATTATCACAAATTGCTTCCAGACTGTTTCTTTCTGTCCAAGCAAATTATTACCAAAATTGGGTGCAGACACTGTCACCATTTTAGCAGAATCATGCATTGCTCTTGAAAGTGTAGAATGAGTGGTCACTCTGCTACATCAAAAACACGGCCCACTTTCTAGTCAAGTCACTGTCTTCCTATTTTCTTTGTGTTTGGAATCAGTATTCCTTTGGGATTTTATTTCACATGAGGTTAAGGAATGGTTTTTTTTTTTGTGATTGATGGAAAATTGCCCAATAATTCAAACAAATAGCCTTCCTCCTGTACTTGTCTGTAGTTCCTGCATGTGTTGCCTGGAGGAATCATGTTTTTGGCAGACGGCAGAAACCAATCCAGTTCCTCAGATTACCATTCTGGTGATTCATCAACATCAGTTGTGAATGTTCATTATTGTATTCAAAATTAGCTGTGTTGCAATGGTTTCCATGGCATTAGAGTACATATGCTATGAGTCATAATCGTTTTGCAGATTTCTGGAAAGTTGGATGTTAGCTAAATCATTCCCATATTTTTTTTTCAACCTAGATCTTAGTGTCATTGTCATGACCAATATGTGGGATAGCACAATACTTACTTTTTGGTACATTTTACAAAGTCTTGTTTAGAACATTCAGTTTGGCTAACCCATATGGAAAAGATATATATAAATCTTATAAAGATTTTATCTGTCTTGTATGAAACTTGTATAAAAAGCATACAAGAGTGAAAACACATAAGATCCCTTGAAAAATTATATAATGAAACTTGTATGTTTTGTATACTTACTAAAAAATATATGAAAGTAATGAGAAATTGGCCACTTTCAAGAGTAAATCATGTAAGCCTTATATGATTTATATATGATTTACTCATGAAAGTGGCCACTTTCATGAGTAAATCATATATGTTTTTACTATTTCTTTTCCATATGGGAATGTATATAAATCTGAAATGAACTTTTTTTGTTTTTTTTTTTGTTTTTGTTTTTTTGTTTTAGGAATAACCTCATTTTTAATCTTTAAATATACTAGTTTGGATCTAAATGGATCTGCACATAATCTGAGCTGCGTATTTTCTTGTTTCATTTTCTTCCATGGCAAAGCTGCTTCTACTAAACTCTAATCTGTCCACAATCATAGTGCCATGTTATGATAAACTTTTGGGAAGATTACAACAATAAGACCCACACTGTAGTAAAAAGAACCCTTTGATAGAGTGGAGGAGCCCCCTCTGCTGTAAATCATTGACTGATTAGTGTCCTTGTTATGTTTCAAAGTGTTTGTTAATGTGGGTATCAGCTCTCAAAACAGGGTGTATTTCTAGAGCTTAACTTCTCTGTTTAGGACCCAAAGTTCCTTGGCTGCATGATAGCTCTTTCACGTTCTGATTATTCTCTTTGTGACTAGAAGTGTAATGTTGGGTGCTGAGTAATCCCTCCCTAACAATAGCCACTGCTTTATGGTAGTGTCAAACAGAAGCACAGTTGCAGTTACTGTGATGGGGTCATTTTCTCATCTTATGTTAGTCAGTGTTGGGTGCCCAAAAAGAAAACCTTTACCTCAAAGTCAGCTCCAGTGAGTCACCTCGAGTGTTAGTCATTTAATGCAGATGTACCGTTGCATTCATTTTATATTTGGAAAAACAATATCCGCAATTATGTCCAACTTCTGTTTCACTGGCCGAATCATACTCCCTCATTCACTCTAATATCCTGTCTGAAGGTCACATTTGCCACACTCCTCCTGAACAGAGCACCACTGCTGGTTGAAATGAAAAGCAAATATTAATATTCGCTGGTGTTACTCTGGAATGTAAAATGTGGGAGGCCCAGGGAAGTGCTATACATTCCACATCTAATGACACATTTACTTTGCTTTTCTGTGGGGAGTTATTTTTTCCAAATAACTGTATCACACAAGATATACATACATGTAAAAAGTGGAAGCTTTCAGGGCTTTTGCTTGTTTTAGAAATACAAAAATGTTCACTTAATTTCAGCTGTAGTCACAAACTTCATACTGTTTGTTGCTACAGGAAGGTGGAAGTGAACCGCAACAAAATATAAGTCTCAAAAAAAGTATTTTAAAAGTATATTCAATCACATCTTGATGTGATTTTGATCCAATCTTCATTAACTCAGGATCTGTGTATAAGTAGTTTATCTGCAGTCTTTCATTGAACACAGAGACACAGTCATATATCCTTGGTACTACCTATGAGTTTTCAGGGATGTTTTTGTTCATTTAATGCAATTTTTTCCACTAAAGATGGACAACTTTGTACAAATGATATGGAAGAGTTGCTTAAAGCTACAATCCCCAACACTGGAAAGCTGGTTAGTATTGAAGTGTCTTTATGAGAAGCCATGAGAGAATGCTCTGTAATTTCAGTCCGATGGATGGCCTTCACGTCAGTGCTTTCACATTAGAAGTCCAATTACTACATGGGGAGATGAAAGAGTCTTAGTAAATATGAAATAGGTGGTCCGGGGTGACATTAATAGAGTTAACCCAGGGACAGGGTGGGATCAAAGGGGCCTCAACCATATTAACCAATCTGTCTGTGTCTGTGAACAAAACAGCTGATCGAAGGTAATGACAGTGTATGTCATCAAAACAAACTGACCACTAACACAAGTGTGTGAGCATTGAGCATGGCAGCCTTCATAAACTTCAAATCCTCCGACTACACATTTCTGCTGCTGAAGAAACAACACTTAGCAAACCTCCCTTTTTCATTTTTGTTGAGGCTCTCTTGTAGAGTCTTAATTAGATTCATTGTGGCATAGGTTGTTTGCCATAACCCCCCACCCCCACACCAATGTTTCTGACAGGACCCTTGAAATATGGCACATTTGCTTGTTGGCTTTCTTCAGCTTTGCTGTCCAGATTTAAAAGCATATTGGTGCTTATGCACAAAGAGCTATAATGATCCATCATACCATGTGGACGAGAGGGCTGAGTCCTCTGCTCCACATAAATAAGCGGCAATTTGGCCATCTGCTTGGATTCTTTCCATCTCCCCGGAGACCCCCATCTGCCTTTACATTATCAATTACAGTTCAGCTATACCCCAACCCCTACCCCCACGCCGACACTGCCAGACCCTCCAATCCTCATCCATCAACCCACATATACAGAGAACAACTGCTATCACTGCTGCATCAAAATGAGACATTTATCTTATTTATCTGTTTTCATCCTTAATTATCATAAGTGTTTAATTGCACGAAATCCCGTTTGTGTTCTGGGCATTCATAGTATAAGGTGTGTTTGTTTATTTTAGATGTAACTGCATGTAAAACAAGGGGCCAAGCAGTTCAGCAGAATACTAGGTTGCTATGTCAGCTTGACCTGACCACGTCAAAAGCATTGTTATAAGAAAAGGACACAGACACTGTGACATCCCCGACTGGTTTTGGACTGTTTTGACTCTTTGGACTTTGAAACATCAAGGCTAGCACTTTTAGGAGCCAGAACAAATGGATATCTGCTAATTAGTACTAAGTAACAGACTGAAAAAATCACAGATTCACTCCCTAAAACAGAAGCACAAACCTTTGGGAGGGTCTGTGTCACACAAAAAGCTATAATAATAGTCAGAAAATTCATTAAATGAGGTTCAGAAGGCACGAGCAGTGTACGCGCGTGTGTAAACACACACACACACACACACACACACACACACACACACACACAGTTCAATGGCTTAAAGTAGTGGGTGAAGACATGCTGATTAGCTGCAGTTGCCTCTGTAGGAACACTTAGGCATTTACATCAAAAAATGATACTTAGAAGAACTGCAGTTTTTTGGTAGACTCATGAGAGTGTTTCCAAGTTTACACACCACATTTGGTGTCCAAGTCCATTTGGTAACATTTTTGAGTGAATGTTTAAAAAAATGAAGCATATGGAAAAAATGGAAAATTTTGACTAAATTCAGTATGGCAGATCACATCACAAGCTGTCTTGGGACCTCCAGTGACACAAGCAGACACAAGACGTATTTGTCTAAAATAAACAAATCAACATAATTTAATTAATTCCATTTCTGATCTATTGCAGATTTTTTCTACTTTTGGTGGGGCACTTTGCAATACAGATGTTCTGGTGAGCTTGCTCCAAAAAGTGGATGTGAGGAGACACCAGCTCAAGAATGAGAAGCACCTTTGTTCTACGGTTTCCAGGAAAAGTGGTGAGGTTCTCAAGGGGACAGGTATGTGTGGGAAGAGGACCCTTGTCAAGTGCATGGTGCCTCATTAATATGGAGACAGGTGCTCTTTTGATGAGTTCATAAGCAGTTCAGCAGCAGCCTGGAAGTAGTGCACTTTACAAGGCTGTTCAAAGATCTCTGACATCTGAGGAGAGCCAGTGAAGCCAATAATCCTACTTTCAGAATTTGAGTCTTTCCTCTGAGATCAATCCCAGATCGAAACATCAAATAGAACTGCTGCTTTTCTCTTTTTAAACCCCCCTCCTCCCCTTACAAAAATCACTTACTAGATGGTATTAGACAAGCTAGCAAAAGTGTCATTACCGCTGGGAAGAGGGAATGGATAGATTTCCGTCAAATTGTAGAATATTTTCCACTAATTTAAGCCTATAGTTAAGAGTGCAGCATTATTGATAAGACTGTGCTCTGGGTCCAGTGCTGTGCCCAAGGGCCCAGAGGGAAGCAATCCACTGAAGTGGGCTTTCATGTTCATCTATGTACAAGAACAAAGCGAGGATTAAGTCTGGGCCTTTGATCCACAAAGCAAGAGGAGTATTTTTATTTTATTTTTTTTTTCCTTGTCCCTAGGGAAAGCCCTGCACACGGCTGGAACATTTTCAGGCATGCCATAGCACTGTCGCCTCTGGCACGTCTCACTATCCCCCACACTGTCCTTTGCCTGGCAAAGCAGGTGTGGGAAAATTTCTGCTGCTAATAGCCGTAATGGGAGTTCATTACACTGCAGTACACAAAAAAATTATCGTTTTTGCCTTCAGTTATACAGGCAGGTATGCATAATAGCAGTCATGCATGTTAAAGTTTACAGAGTAAGGTTGTCTTGCACTATCAGAATAAATAGTTTTCCTCATGCTGTGCCAAGAAATCAGGTTAATTATTTCTAGTTTGTCTTTTAATTGGAACTGATGTTTTATTTTGATGACACACTGGTCAATCTGTTTGTATTGATGCTGTCATTTCTGGAGGCAAGAAAGGTTCCAAGTTAAATTGTAGATATGTTGGGAATCATGTTTCATCCGTCTCTAAGGTTTATAAGTAGATTACCTTTTGTAATTCGTTTTGTTACACCAGTCAATAAGCGTCCAATGCAAATGTGGTTCATTTGTATTTGAATTGATGTCCTGTCCCCATTAACTTATGCCTCTAATGCATTCTGGTACATTAGTAAATAGACCTGCCGGATTAATCATTAGTTCATTGGGATCATTTGCTTTCTTCGTGCTTAATCGAATCTCTGACATTGGTAATAAGGGCAGACTTCACCTGCCTCCATGGACACTCAAAAACAAAGAAGAATAATTTCAGGAGAATGTTTTAACAGTGTTTTCCTCTTAGTTTGGAGTCTCTCATCTCTGGTATGTGTAAGAAAATATCAAGCTCAAAACTTGATCTTTAGTTGATATTGTTTATCTCATGTTGTGATTTAAAGTTCACTGGTTTAATTGACATTTAGAATTCTACCTGTTTCACTTATTGCGATGTACCCTTGCTCCCTCTTATCTCGCTTTCTTACACTGACCCTGATAATTAATGGCTTTTATGTCTCGAGAATAAAACCTCTAAATAGGCTTCTTGCACATTATTTATTTAGTTCTAATTAATTGAAGTATACCTGGATTGAATTCAACAAGGCTAAGGTTGCCGTGTCTCCTTAGAAGAAGCTCTATGTAAGGCGTGCATGATTGCCCTTTATCTGCGATTTTATAGCCTTGTATTGGATAAAGGCACATGTTGTATCTATTTATTTTTGCTTCTGTCTTCTTCTTTGTTAGGTTTGACAATTGGGCATTCATCATCTTTACGTAAAGATTTTGAAGCTATGGATGTGTTTTCTAATGTATTTGAAGGGTGACAATGCACCATTGGCCTGTGGTTTAGTGCTTACCAGGTTGCAGCAGGGACATGTCATCACCCCTTGATTCAACACCACAAGAGATGACACATGGGGTCATTGCATGTCTAGAAGTCAGTGTTGTGAATAAGCATGGGCAATATATTGTATGGTCTGACTTGTGCTGGAACAGCAGAGAATGACCTCAGTGAGTTGTCATGAATATACTTAGGTTAAATAATTGGAGATTATATTTTTCAAGCAGTCTACAATGTCAGTGTTGTGATTCAGTTTTCACACGAAGTATCAGTATTTAATGCATTGCAATACATGCTTATAGACTATTTTGAGTTTTGAGATGTGCCTTGAATAAGTAGAGCCAGTAGACTGAGACCCATTCTGTGTGAGGGACATGACCTGGAATACCAATCCCAAGCCGTGCTACTGATGTGAAGTATGGTGTTTCTGTAGAAAATGTGTATTAGAAAAAGACACCCAAGAACACAAAACGATTTATATTTTAGCACTAAACGTCTTAAAGTACATTTCTGTGTTTTTTGCTGGGCAGGGACTCACTCATCAACTTGGGAGATGTGTGGATTTACAGCAGCAGTGGGAGCATTGGACTCTGTATGGTAACCCATCCAAACAAAGAAGGCAATTGTAAATGTGTCCTTAACCCATAACCCACCCAATCAGCACTTGTGTGTTCCTTTTGTTTTCCAACCATCCCCAAAATACATCCATCTCCTTAATGGATTTTTTTTTCCAGGAAGATAACATGGTTCAAAATATAGCAACACGAGGGAAAGGAGGATCATGGAGTCAGGCCACACAGGCCCTTAAAAAGCGAGATTAATAACCCAGCACAGATGATCTCATAGTTAAGTGTTTTCTGTTGTATTTACACATCCGCCCATGCTGTCAGAGTTGTGCTCGTCTCTGAGAAATGGAACCGACACATCCTGACACTAATGCATCACTGAAAATATTTGAAATGAATAAAGCTCATGCTTTCCAGGAGAAGAGAGAGAGACATTACAAACACTCCATTTGACATTGACACAATGGCGCCTCTGCTCAATGCAAATACTGTTATTCTCCCCCCCCCCCCATTTCTCCTTTTGATGGAAGAGTCACAGAGGAGAAAATCTCCTGCACTCAGTGCAAACTAATGAGACATATTAATGACATTAGACACTTAATTCAATGCATGTATAATTCATAATAATTGATTGCTCTGGTTTGACAGAGTACCTTTTGTGAGAAAAATTATCCTATTAAGCCAGGTTTAATCCAAATCTAAGCTGTCACAACACCCAGCTCTTATTGCATCTCGCACTGTTAATTGTCATAAGCATTTCGGATTGATTCCTTGTGTGTTGGACAGAGGTGGAGCTTTCATTCATGATTTTCACTGATGCGAAATAGGTATGTTCCTTAAAATGATTTTTTTTGTAGCTAAAGGGCCATAGAAGCAAATTAAATTTTCAAGATAAATATTTTCATACCGAGTAATTTATTTGAAATATCACCTTCATTTCTTTTTCTTCTTTGCTCTCTCTCCAGCTAGAATGATGCCGATTGAGTTGCCGGTATTCTCAGACCCCTTAACAATAATGCCATGATACAATCAGTGACTAACAGTTTAATATTATAGTGTTGTACACAGCATAGTATCTCATGAACATAGTTTTATACTTGGCCATTGAGTTGCTCAACATTAGACTGCTTTATAATATTTCTATATTTACTATTTTCAAGGCTTTCAAATATAGGTTTCAGTGGTGGTAAAAATAAAAATGAGGCTGCTTGTCCTGCTCTTCACTCTCTAAACAAACAAACAACTACTTGTATCTTATTAGTCAACCATGGGAAAACTTGTCTACTTCAAGCTGTCACCAGTGGGCATTAATCTTGAAGATCTGCACCACTTTTATGTTGTTTGATAATCAATTTATCATCAAAGCCACATCTGCATGGGAACAGGAAATGGGTGTTGAGTTTACAAAGGATGCAGTGTGACCTGTGAATGTCTGCCACATATAATTTAATCCGTTACACTTGGTAGAGGGGAGCCTAACGTGATTTGTGCTAATTTTGTGTTTTGCACTGGTATTACTGGTCGGTTTGATTTATTTCTGCAAACCATTTTAAATATTTTTGGTATAAAACAGATGCATATTTTCCCAAAAAAAGTTGATACATAATAAATATGAAATATGTTACTCATTGGGCAATCCTGGATTGAATCAGCTGTTCAGCTTTGTCATTGTCTTAATGCTACCTAATACTACTCATGGGTTCGTAGGGGTAGGAATTATCTACAAGACTCCACTGTAATAAGTTGCTGTTCCAACTAGAAGAGCTTTTGACTAAATCCCCCATTATTATGATGTCTTTTGAACAAGCAGTTTGTGTGTGGGTTTTGTATGTAAATAGGTTTAATGATGTTTTTATTTCAGAGGATCAGTAATGGATTCTGATTTTAACACAATGGCTTAGTGGTTAGCGTTGTTCCAGCAGCAAGAAGGTGAGTGTGAATCTTATCGCCATCTCTATTACACCCATAGTTGTGTGACTTTCCACCTGTTTCTTCACTTTGTTCTTACAGTTTAAATTACTCAAAGATTAGTGTTTGTTTGTGTTGACCTTGTGATAAATGCCTGACTTATCAAATGTGTTTCCACTCCTTCTCTAACCCCATCACATACTTTTTATACTCCACAAGATACTATGTTGCCATTATTAAAGAGATTATTATTATAGGTTGGATGAGGTGTTTGAAGGGTTAGTGTTGGATCAAAGGTGGGTGAGTAGGTGTATTGTTCTAAAAATATGACCTCTTCTGTTCTGTTCTGTTCTTTTTGCAATAAAAGTCAAGAAAGGTTTTTATCTGATTTCATGCGTAGATGATAGAAAATGCATTTCTTAATGACATGTGTTTGATTGAAGGTACCCTGGGTGTTCAGCGTTAATCAGAGTCTATTGTTGTGAAATAACTGGTTAGATCCTGACCTTTGACCTCTGTTTTATAAACATACACAAAGGTTGTCAGGAATTATAGGGCTGTCGGCTCATTCATACGGATGAAAGGTAATAGATGCTCATCTGTGGACATAAATGCAATTGCATGTTCAACCTACACAGCGGC